GAATAGAAATAATCATTATTATAACCAGTTGCATCAGTGATTGTTTTAACGAACTACTTGTTTATTCTTACTTCTGTACGCACACTTTCAGCTTGCTTGGTTGCCATCTTGTTTATAATGCTCGTTGTATCTTCGCCCATATTCTCTGGCACGATCTCAGTGTTCTTTCAGTATCACAAGAGAGTCAAATCCCTATGCCGTTCATATCATATTATGTAGATCAAAATAATTTCTAACAATTTATTTCTTTTGAATCTCACCTATTCGTATGTTCATTCGCTGATTCGTCACATTATTGGTGAATTGTCTTCATTAATTTACCTTATAGTAGTTCGAGTCGACGTTGACTACGAACACCACTGCAAATCACTTATGTCCCCGCGTCTAATCTTTATCCCATCGCGAACCAAAGACAGAGAAAAAGATCTAATCCACAAGACGGGGTATCTTTTTCTCTACTCGAGTTGGCGTTCCATACCAGAGTGTTTGTATTCAGAATATGAAGACGGGGTTCGAACCATAAAAACTGCAGACATAGGACGAAAACATGTTGAGCCGAGAAGCCAGAAGCGACCATAATAACCAGGTTTTGGATAGTATGTATGTCAGACGTAGCCAGAACAAGAATGTCGACCGATTACATTGACAAGGGCGTTGGTCATGAGGCCAGCTGTTGCCAAGTTTGAGTGATGTTGACAGTATTGGTAGGGTGATGGCCGGAGGCGTAAACTCAATACGAATAAATCAAATAAAAATAAAACAGCTGTGGCAGCCATGTGATGTAGGTCGGAATCTTATATCCCATACGTCGCTCACTGAGAGGTTAGTCTCAATAGCGTGCAGGTAGATGTACTTGTCGACTGAACGTGAGACGGAAGTTTCGTTCGTACTTCATGGTCGAGAGCATGAGACTGCAATCTCATCCGAGGTCAAGGGTGGCGAGGTCTACTGATCTGGACTTGAGACTGGAGTCTCATTCGTAGACAACGCAGATGATATGTGCTGTTGACTGAGGCATAAGAATTAGTTCTCTGATGTATCTTACGTGAAATTTTGAAGATTCATACGGATCCCGCTGATGAGTTTATTAGTCTAGATTTGGGTCTCAGTTTGTCAGTCAGGGCCCTTTCATAGTCGTTTGCTGATTGAAACGACCAATCCTCACGATCTCGAGTCGGTCATATCGATCAACCCTGAAGGTCTTTCGGTGACGTGAAATCACGTGAGAAGGTTTGTGGTGAGCGCTACTTATAAGTAGTATATGACGCGAGTGCAAACGTAATGTCTGGCAGCAGAAGATGGGGGAAGAACCAGAAAGGAAGAGTGGAAACACAATGGAATTTGTATGAAAAGCATGAATAGTGAAATGTCAGACAATGGATTGATGATGGATTGAAGATTTGCAAATTAACGGTTATGAACTTTATGGTTTTCCTATTTTACTGAGTAACTCTGTAATTTTCGTTAAATACAATTTGGTTGCCCTCACCTGTGTTTTCCTTCACTACAGGTTCTTCTTAAGGCCGCTGTTGTTGGTTTACATACTGAATCTACTCGTTGACCATGAACATCACTATAGACCAATCTTTGTTCCTGCCACTAATAGTAATCCGGACGTGAATCAAAGACAGAGAAGTAGATTTAGTCCAGAAGAAGGAGTGTATTTGCTGGCGATCTCGTCGTATCTATGGTGACTCCACTTTTGTGAAGAGAACGAGACGGGTTAAGCAGAAACATTCATTATTATAAACAATTGTAACAGTGATTGTTTTGACGCACTTCTTGTTTATTCGGACTTCTGTTCGTCGCCATCTTGGTAGATTCGCGTATACCTTTTGGTACCATCCTGATATTTCGGCAATCTCGTGATGCCGAAAGAATACCAAGGTCCTGCCGGAGAATCTATGCGGAGACAACGAGCAGTACAACTAACATGGTAACTAGGCAGGTGGATGTTGCGCGTACCAATGTACAAATATGCAAGAACTTCAGTAAATCAACCCTTTGTATAACTGTAAAATACATTTTGAAGGCTTTGTTTTGGGAAAATCCCTCTATGTGTAAATTTGTAATATGTTCTTACCGACTCTTTCTGTGCTACATTTTGGTACTCTCTTTGATCCTATTTTGTGATGTTCATATTTGTATTTTGTTACGCTTTCTGTTTTGTGTACCTTTATAGGAGTTTCTATGTTTTCTTTTGAACTGTATTATGTTATTTAAATTTGTACTTTATTATGGCTACAGCCATATCGGATTTGATACTCTGGCGGGTAAACCTGAATCTGGACTGATAGGGTGCAATTTTGGACCTACAACGGAAGAATTCTCCCAGAATCGGAAACACATTTGACAGACAAAAGTGTAATATTGTTTGGGCAACTATCTATACCTTTTAATTAATAATATAACCGTTTCTCACCCAGATAAATTACTTTTTATTTGGATATCCGGGCAATGCGCGTATCTAGACTGCTAGAAATGTTCTTCTGAACTCAGAATCCACTCTGAAACTAACATTAACTGGATATAACAATGGATTTTTCCATTCAACCGATAGCGTTTACATCATAGTTTCATAGTATCTATGGTTCGTCTATATTATCAGGTTGATCATAAAAATGTGCCTTGAGATTTAGTCTGAGTTATGGAAATAGTTTATATGTCCTTCTAGACTCTAAAAAAGGCTTTACTAATTTCCTGAACCTGGTGATTGCGTCACAAACACGGATGCAAATCGGTAGTCTGTTCCACAATAAACTGTGTCGTGTTGCAAAGCAATTACTCAGTGATGTTTTGTGTTTTGCCGTTATTATTAAGTTATCTTTCAACCGATTGCGTTATAAAGATTCCAGGGATGGATTTTTTCATCTTTCCGTGAAGTTGAGAGTATGATTGCACCTTAACCGTCGCCTTATGAACCTTCTTCAGTCATTTTCTACTCATATCTTGTCTATGATTTTTAGGTTTTGAAAGATAAGTGATCAGAATTCAAGGGAGGGCCTTGTATACTTTGAAGAATGGAACCAAACACAATAATAATAATAATTTATTCTCAAATAACTAAGTTACAATGAAATTATTGCACTTATTCTTAGAAGACTTGTTAACTCATTCCTAGTGATTTACCGTTTACTTTACTAACACGCTGAGATAGTAATCCCTAACACTCGATAATCTCACCTGATTGTGTGACGAATAGCAGTCGCGTTGATTCTTTTTTGGTATTATGTAGTGGCGTTGGTTCCTTAACACACGACTCCTAAAACTGTTCACACAGTAACTAGGAACAGCAAAGTTCAGTGTTTAACATAATGGAAAGATTAGGAATAGTGAAGTCTGGAAGAAATGATTTAGACGACATAGCTCAGTTATGCATGCATGGTCATGTCGTTTAATTTTTTACTTCTGATAATGAACGTATTATTCACGCCTAAAAAGTTTTTCCAGATGTATTAAAAAACGAAGTACTTACTTCCACAACAAGATAAGTCATCACAGATAACTGTGTGAATATTTTTAACAGTGTGATCAGGTCTACTGACCTTATAGAAGACTGTGAGTGAATCATTTCCTCGATTTCGAACATTACATAGGAGTATTCTTATTAATTCAACACGTGAAACTGCTCCAGTGTCTTCGTTAATCAGGTCAACAGGTAGTTGAACCTGTGTTAATCCCAGCACCTTACCTTCTCCGGAAGGTCTAGCTTCTTTCCAAAAGTTTCCACTGATGAAACTGATACCGCTTCTCCGGATATGGGCTCCTCAAACATAGATCACTTGACAGGCTAGTTGGATGCTATTACTTGTCATACTTGAAAATAGGGCATATTGTACCATCCTTCCATTTCTTAAGGAGTCGTGTTTGGTAATGAGACCGACTGAATAGTACTGTGATGGATTCTGGGTCGGTTTTCGCGAGGGATTAGTGCAATCGTTGGAGAAATACATCAGGACTCATTTGCTAATCAGGACCGAGGTTAATAGGGGAATGAAGAACAGTTTCGTCAACCACATGCACTGCTTCTGTAACTGAAATTTCAGTCGTATGTCGTGAGAAGTGTTGTTAAAAATACACGTATAAAAATGCTTATTTGGTAGGCGCAGCATGTTGACAACAACATCAGCGTGTAGTTCAACTCAACATATTCCGGTTTGGTAATATACTATGCCAGTTGACAAGGTGCTGTCTTCAAAACATTCTTCTGAATTAATAAGCTCTATATAATTGAAATGTGGCGTATCAAAACTTCTAGCAGTGCGGCAGCAATCAACCTTACTCGTTAAATATTATCAGATTCTCCCCAGGAGGGAAAGGTGACTGTTGTCAGGTATGAAAACCCGTTAAACAAAAGCTTGCTCTATCTCGTTCACAACCATTTTAACTGTTCAAACCATTCCGGTCAGGGGCTAGCTTTAGGAAGAGACTTGAAAAACATGTACTCACATACGGATTATCACCTCCCTCGTGGACAAGCTGTACCCTGATGCATATATTGAGACCTGTTAGTTGTTATCATTGCCATCTCCTCAGGTCAATAACTTAATCTATCTCGCCTATTATCTCTGCATCCTCTCTATTGCTTACACTTCGGTCCTGTCGCACAATCTTCACTACCAATTAACAAATTAAATTATCGGTTATTTATATAGTTCTGAAATCTTCTTCTTAGTATTAGAATCCTCTCCTTATTATTCTCCACATTGCAAATAACTGATCTCCGGCCTGGTATTGTGATAGCTGCTGGCATCTATAAACCCTACTGCCCTGAAATAAACGTTTTCATTCATATCACGAGACATACGAAATCACAAACAACTGCCAACTGACTAGAATTAAAAAGTCAAGTGGCTAGACCTCCATCCTCTGGACATTGTCAGACACCTGGAACCATACCGAAAGAACAGGAGCTAATAGAAAAGAAATCAATGGGTTTGAACTTGCTCGGGAAAAATATATTGGATAGTGAAATGACCTACAAGTTACAATGGGACTAATTTGAAATGGATGGCACGTCCTTGAGAACTCAACTGTTCCTGTACAGCGAATAGTGTCGTTGACGTAGTACAGGAACTAATTTACTTAGTGCATTGTAAGTGTGCGTTGTTCAAAAAGCAACAGTATGACGATTGTCGTACACATTAAGATTCACAAACTGCCTTCTGAAAATCACACAAAAACAAAAATGTTTGTTTAGCGCCAGCTATTCAAACTCTCATTCACATTAACTTAAATATTCCCGGTTACTAAAAGCTTGAGTAGTAGCGTCGGAAGTCTGCCTGTCAACTCTGAGCATCTAGACTCGCATAACAACCTATTTGCCAATATAACATTCTTTTGTAATCCAACACTATATTGAACGAAGCGGGCATATCGGCAGCTTTCTGATGAACAATTACTCAGAAACGAGTTCAATGTTTACACTTCTAAATGATAGGAATGTAACTAAAATGACTTTTAAACTGGTCTAAATTTTTCAGTCAATAAACTTGTGAAAACTGCAAACTCACAGCTTAGCATACACTCAATCAACCTCAGGCTCTATGAACATAGAACGCTTAAGTTGAAAGTGCTCTAAGTGGTGTAAGGAAAAAGACCTATTTGAGCTGGGTCCGATCTAACCGTTTGGAACCCTCGCGCTATCCGCTTTGAGTTCCACTTTCCAGATTCTTTGAATCTGAAGCTTGTGTGTTTACTGATAGTTGCATATCGCTGTTCTTGTTGGATGCAAGTGAGTTGTTTGCGCCTGCTTTGTCGTCGGCTCACCTCTTATTTTGTTTTTGTTTCTAGCTGTCCCCACTCACACTACTCTCCATGCTCCCATGGTGCACAAGGTTCCTCCTGGTTAGACACGAACTTGTACAGTTATGTAATGAGTCCTGAAGTTTCTGGCGTGGTACATCCACAAAGCCAGAGAAAAAACCAAAAACATAGCGCCATGGCTAGCCGGAGGAAACATTCACACAAGGTACGCTTCCACGTTGAATTATTGTGTATGTGGTCACAACAGCAGCCCACGCTGGTCTGCAAATTTTCGGATAGTTTCATTTTCAGTCATTTAGACGTCGATTTTAGGCCCCCATATATACGAAATCTGTCACAATATCGCCATGTCGAGCTAAGTCTGTCCCCAAACTTATCACCTCTGCTTTCGATATCTTTCTCTAATCCTTTGATATCATTGATCCAGTCAGCATAACGTGGAACGTAGTACCCATATAAATTTAAGCTGTCATAATACATTATCACAGAAATACGAGATTGTACTAATAAACGATACATAGGTAGGGTTTTTGTTAATCATTTACCTATTCTTTTCCTCTTCATACCCCTTAATCGGTTGAAATGAACAATTAAGTTTCCCGTTTTTTTCTTCGCTGACGTTGTACATGTTCTCGCTTATCTGATAGTTAACTAAATAAGGTCTCGTAAAATCGCTTCTTTAGTCAGTTCCTCGTTGACCCGTGAAAATGGACTGCATAAGCCAGAATTTCACTCGGTTGTCCCACGATACACGAGCAATGCTTCTAAGAGATTTATGATCGAAAACCGACAACCTACGAATAAATTCTACTCTTACCGGCCATTTTTCGGATCCATAAAGGAGAATGGAGCAAAGTGTTGTGCAGTACACTCGTCCTTTAGTCAGCAAACGGATATCTCACCTACGCCATAAGTGACGCAGGTTGGCAAAAGCCAGTCGAGCCTTCTATATCCGTGCTGAGATCTCGTCAGTCACCAGGCCATCAGCGCTGATGAGACTGCCACTAAAACTTGTAAAGCCAAAACTGTAATAAAAGTATCCGTTCCTAAAGTTAATAGTACGTGTATGTTGTAGTGTGACTTCATTATTTTTATTTCCTTGTGCCTCATGACTGCATAATACATATTGCCCATTGTTTATACCATATTAACCCTAAATTGTTTTTCTCAACAGTTCTTTTGACTACAAAGTGGGGAATGCTCCGCTTGTTAAGACTGCGCAGTATAAGCAAGGCCTTGTTCCCTGTTCCACACTATGGGCGTTATTTTAGTTTATCCAAATCTCCGGAACAACCATCTGAAGTTTTAAATAAACATTTATTAGAACGTATAAACACTTTTGGACCTCTAACTGTGGCTGAATACATGAAAGAATGTCTATCTAACCCATTATATGTAGGTTTTAATTAACTTTTTACTAGTTACTTTTCAGGGTTATTATAATACACATGATGTTTTCGGAAAGTCTGGAGATTTTACCACTTCACCTGAAATATGTCAAATTTTTGGCGAAGTAATCATATTTTGTTCTACTTAAATTATGTTAATAGTTAATAGGTGTATGGTTTCTGCAAGAATGGAAAAGACAAAACAGCCCTAAACACCTACAACTTGTTGAACTTGGTCCTGGACGTGGTACACTTTGCGCTGATATACTAAGGGTTTGTTTATTAAAAATACTATAAAGTAATGCTTTTTTTACTTTAGTTTGTTAAGTCATAATAATTGCACAAGGTATTAATTGCTGTTTATTAACCTAGCATATTCTAATGATTGAAAATAAAGTCCATAAAAGTACCCACAAATGATCAGCACTTATTAGTTGTCAGTAATCGACCTGACCCTGAGAGTGACATTTCCAGTAAATTGTTGCATCGTATATTTTCAGATGCGTATAAAAACATCGGCTGTTTTTTTGTACAGTATATTTGTGGACATTTATTTGTAAACAAACCGGCTATATAGTACGAAAATCTGTCTAACCATGTGTATGACTTGAATATTGCTTAAAATTGGTGTTAGTAACACAAATCTATCTGTTCTTTATTTCTCCTTAAATCGTAGGTTCAAATATTACGTCAGACAATTCATGGTGATAAGTTGATTTATAAATATGAAGCAGCAGTTAAGTAACCAAAACATCGGAGTTTTAATCCATAGAGTCGCATATCTAAACATCGAAGTAAAGTACATGAATTTTCACAATCCCTTAGTAATTTATAACTAGTCTTACTGCAATATTCTAAACGTTCAGATTTACTGGGTGCTCAACTTTTATACATTGATTTGATAAATAAAAAAAAAACGTGAACCAGTTAATTTTTATCTCAATTTACTCCGTTTGTGATAAAACTATAAAAACATTTGATTATTAGTTATCTGAACACTAGACAAGCTGATCAAGTAGGATTACGCAAGCGAATATCGTTTTTTCAGCATTACTTCCTCAAATCATTATGACAATAACGATAGCTCCCTGATAACTCCGTTTTCATGACTCTTAATAACAAACAATTTTTTAGGCGGTAACAAGTGTTCTAGGAAACTATTTATAGCCATAAGAAAGATTCGAAAACAAAGCTTTTTAGGGTGAATAAGTTTGCATCCAGATAAACAAGGTTATGTCCCGATATTCGTTTTGTCTTACGATCAAAGAACTTAAAAAGATAATAAACTTTCGAAAATTATTGAAGTCTACCATATTTTATTAGTTTTGTTGCAAAATACTTCCGATTTTTACAGGCTCTCTGCTCATTGAGTGAAAAACGACTTTAAAAGCAAAAGGTTATTTGTAAGAATACATCAAGTATGTCCATATTCCATAACTAAGCCGTTAATAAGTTACTAACATAAATAATATCTTGATTAATTACATTTTACTTTATTCCAGGTTTTCTCTCAATTCCCAGATATATATTCAGCTTTAGCAATACACCTGGTTGAAATAAGTCAATCAATGCAACAGACTCAAAAGAAAACAATAGAAAAAGCTCTATCACATTTAAATAATAAACCTCCACCTATATTTTGGTATACTGACTTACGACAAGTTCCTGAAGCATTCTCATTCTTTATAGGTCATGAATTTTTCGATGTACTCCCAGTTCATTGTTTTCGGGTAAGTCATACATTGTAGCAGCTTCATATATGCTTACGTGAATTTTTTCTTATCTGATCAATTAATCATTCAAGCATCATGTAATTAATGTGCTATTTCTATCCTCACAATTCTCTACTTCTCATAAGTAATTTTGATACTCTATACATGTAAATTTTTTATACATGTCCTCGTTTATTCCACTAACCATGTTGTACTCTTTAATTATTTACATGTATGTGCGTACTCATTTTCACATTTTATCCGTTGTTGATTCTATTCATAAACTGAGACGTGAAACTATTTAGTTATCTGGGCGGTGCGCCAACCCTATCTTCTCTGTTGATTTGTCTATTCCTATACGATTCATAGGATTTATGTATCCTAATAACGTTTCATTTGTCGATCTTTTATAATGCGTTATACATACGTCATGCCACGGATATTCAGAGTTTGACAATGCTTTTGTTCGTAACACCTTTCTAATCGAAAATACATAACTCAGTCAAACCAGAAGTCAGAAATGAAGCAGGTGAAAGGTATATTTGAAGAATGGTTGTTGGGTGTGAGTAATATAGGCTGGCTAGTTGATGTGAAAAAATGCGTAGCATGGCGTACCCAGTAGTGATCTAGTGCGGATGTGTGGCCGAGCGTCTCCAACTAGAACGTGGTCCAGTAAAACTAATGAGGTTAGCATCATTTTCGAAGACTATTCATATTGGGGATTTATTTACCGCTATAGCTCACCCCCATCTTAATGAAGTAGTTATGGCTTTAAGATGTGATCAGCCAGAAGTTTAAACCCAACGTACTTGACGTTGACAAATACTTTTCTGATAGCTCGCTTCGTTCAGCAGCATCTGGTTGTCTTTTCCTACTCTAGAGAATTATGTGGTCAATAATTATACTAAAAAAATGTACAATGAAAGCTTCAGTTCTTCGTATGCATCTTCTGCTTTCGTTTTTTCCAATCACCCTGGAACAGAAAGAACTGAAAATGCAAGCACTTTTCAAAAATACATTAGTAATTATGTAAGTAAGCAAAACGTGCAGAGAAATTCAGTACAAATGTGTATATATACCTTGCGAAATCGAGGAAAGTAACACGTACTGTTTTTTTAAATTATACACACATATGCATATTAAGAATACCTCAGCCAGTTTTGTTCTAATAAAATATATATTGGCATATTAGGAATTTTTTTGTTTTCAATGCAGCGAAAATGTGAACAGTGAGTTGTAGAACACGGGAAAAAAATGAACGAATCAGCTTTTAAAATTTCCTACACGTTGTAGTTGTTTAGATGGTCTATAAATCTCATAGATCTTGAGTGCGTCGTTTTTGATCCCTTTTCGTATACAAACGAAGTTTTGTTGTGGTCGTTACTTACTTGAAGATTGCATCGCACTCGTGGGGAGTGTCGTTCGTCTGTGTTTTGGGGGAATTGACAAGGAAACGGTTTCCTTCTAAGTAGGAGGCTTTCAGCCAGTCAACGCTGATGCTATCTTTAGTCCTATTCTTATCAATTATATAGTACTTAGGTTTGCGACAAAGAACTTTTCAGGGTCCTTCGTATACAGCTTCGAGTGGTCAGCATAATGAGTCGCGACGTACGAAGCGTAAGGCGTGTTGAACAAAAAGACCAGTTGATTGTGGTCGAGTGGAAACAAGCTTAACTGAACTCATCGAGTTTGCTCGTCTAGTAGTTTAGATGTATGTCCGTTGAAGAAAATGATGGACCAACGGATTCTTCTGGAAGTTGAGGTGTCGTGCCGTAAAAGAGTTCAGCTGCAGTGCATTCGACGTCATCTTTCACCGCATTGCGAATGCCGTATAAGACAAGTAGAAGAAATTCAGCCCTTTGTGATAAGTTTGTAGCTAAAAATGAGGCTTTCAAATGCTCATGAGATCGTTCTACCAAACAGTTTACTTGTGGATAGTAGGCGTTCGTTCGAAATCGTGTGATTCGACACATTAGTGTTGTGTAATAATGGATGTTTCTTCCTTATCATTCTCGTTTTTCTGTTTGTTTTTCTTTCTTAGAGATATGAAGGGAAATGGTACGAAATGTTAGTTAGCTCCACAATGAATTCTAATAGTCTATGTTTTGTACGTTCAGGCACAAAAACTCCAGCATCAGTAGCATATCTTCCGGTAAGCTACTTATTTCCATTTTTATGAACTCGTTTGTTAAAATCTCTAATAATTTGCTAATCATCGTGATCTTTTATATTTTATTCTTAAATCTAAACAGTCAAGTAATCCTTAGACTATTGTAAAATTACACATATTTTACAAGAAAGTTGAAACCGTAATTGTTACAATTTATAAACGAATGGAATTGAAGTTTCATATTACAGGCTAACTTTGGTTCGAAATGTCTCTCCTGAATCCTTCACTAATCATAGCACTTATTAAATATGTCAGTTTTTCACTTCACTTTTTAGGAACAAAATTAAATCGTAGTAAGGACACGTCCAAATGAAACTTCTAAAACCAAGAGAATTCTAGTTTTGAGAATTTAGTTATGGACGTTGGACAACTTGGCTGCGTTAATAACACATCAAGTGCTAAACAAGATTTATACTTACAGTCGAATGCTATTCTGTTGTTAACCACAAGAAAATCAGCAGACCAGAAATGACAAAGATATAAAACTAAATATCGCCTTCTTGTCTTTACGAGAACGAACAATTATATTTCAATCTATTACTTGTCAGCTCGCCGTCTAATAAATCGAGCAATCAAAGATTGGTAATATTTCGATTGCTAAATGATTGTACTATAAGTCATTGACAGAGATCTATAGTCAATCTGATAACCTATGAACTAAACACGACTGCACGACTTGAACACTGAGACCGAAATGATTATCCGAATAGTAAGAAATTTCGATAGGTCTGAATCTATTGTTTCATTTGTAACTGATTACACTGTCTTGAATTTTAGTGTATCATCTAAAGATAATACCGTTTAGTACTTATCATTGCCTATGTTCACACAATGTTAACTGATTCCAACCAATTTTTTTTTCAATTATTTCTTGTAGTTAGTTCCTAATCTGTCGGATCGAAACGCTGTAGAAATTTGTCCTGATATGATATGTTTAACACAATTACTATGTAAACGAATCAATGAAACCGGTGGTGCTGCATTGTTGGTTGATTATGGTCATGAAGGTGAAAAAGGTGATACATTTCGTGTAAGTCAAAGTTATAATGTAATTTTCAGTAGTATTGCATAGAACTCAATATGGATAACACAATTAATTGATATGATTATGAAGCAGTCAAATTTATAATTCTTTCATAAAATCAGTCTGTTTTAAATGATCAACCAACTGAATATTTAGAGAATATATGTAGTTATTAAAAAGTATCTAAAGTGTTTTAGTTATACACACATTATTCAACCGAAAGCAATGTAATTATCACTCAGAAAATTAAATGATTTAAAATGTTAAAATAAAATTCAGCAAATAACTAAATGAAGTAAAATTTAAAACAATTGATTCATATAAAGGAAAGACGCGCAAGTAAACCTCTTAGGGTTCTACTTAATGATAGCATAGCTAAGTATATACTTCAGGAGCAAATGGAAAGGCAGTTAGGTGGCCACGTTAGTGATTCCCACCCCGAGGCAGCTCGGAACGATAACCGAAAAGCCGCGAAAACAGTAGTGATATGTGCTAGTAAGGTAAACCATAAGGTTAGGGATAAGCCGTGGATTTCAGTGATAGAGAATAAAGTGGTTAAGCGTGTTGACCGCTTCACTTATCTCGGGAGTCTCATCATTGCTTATGGCCTGGTGTGTGACGAAATCTCAGCACGGATACGGAATGTTCGATTGGCTTTTGCAAACTTGCGTCACTTATGAAGTAGGCGAGATATCCGTTTTCTAACCAAAGGTGAATTCTACTGTACAGAAGTGCTCTCCGTCCTACTATATGCATGCGAAATATGACCAATAAGAATAGAGGGTATTCGTAGGTTTTTAGTATTCAATGATCGGTGTCTTCGAAGCATTGCTTGTGCATCCTGGGACAACCAAGTGAGCAATTCTGTCGTAGTACTAGGTAGAGATGGCAAATCAATAGATGTAGTGGAATGTTTTCATTTGAGAAGGTTGGGACATGTGTTACATAAGTCCAACCACCGATCGCATCATCGAGTGATGTTTAGTGGTGTAAGAGTATAGGTTGGAAGACGTCTAGGGGCGGCCAAACAGAAACATGGCATAAATCTATGAAGTCACTGACAAATGGACTGATTTATGTTAGTAGATGTAGAATACCTGGTTGGGGTCCGCGTGACGAAAGTCACCAATGGTTAGAGACCTTGAATGACATGGCTCAAAATCGTTTGCAATGGCGCAAGTGCATCCGCTTCTTGTTTTCTCTGAAATTCTAACCTTCCGAATTCCTCATCACCTCTGTCATTCTCTTTCTAAATTTATCTCACTGAATTATACTCCTTAAATATTATCTTCGAACCCTAATCTCCATTACCGCTAATACTTCTACTGTCTTTAACACTATGGGATTTGAATTAACAATTGTATCTCTATACTAATGTGGTATGATAAATGACTGACTGACTTTAGAAATTTCGATATAATAATGAAAAGACGTAGTTGATCTGATAAATGTGATGTATTTGTGTTATAAATTTTGAATAATGCGATCATACTTATATACTTGTCAAGGCATTTTATATGAAAATCAATAAATAAAAGTTCAAATAAACGTTTAGTGATAATTGTAAAGAATAGAAAATAGTTGCATTATTTCAGGCTATAAAATGGCTTAAAGATGACCAAGGTAACAAATTTAAGGTTCTTGTACATATAAGGAGGGTTCCAATTTACGAATATTCTTCTGTAAACCTCAGAATTCGCCCTTGAACATTTCTACACAATGTTTTGAAAGCTGTCTTGATGTCAATCCTATGCCCCATTTCGATTGTGTTTTGTTATCGAAGAACATGGTTTTTTTTCCACGTTTATCGGGTCATTTGCCCTTTTATAATTTTTTGTATAAAATGCCTTGACAAGTATGTATGCAACCAGACTGTTCGAAATGTATAGCGCAAACATATCACTTTTTCAGATTGACTGCGTCTTCTCATTGTTCTCTCAGAAGTAAAATTTATCAAACTGATTTTCTTTTTCATGTCATATATGAAATGCTTTTTTTAAAAATAAATTTAACCGGTTAAATATCATTAGTCTTTATGCTTTATTTAATTCATTTAAGTGATGTGACTTCAGTTGGTTGATTACATTGTAAGTGTAAGAGTTAATGAGACACCATTCATTTGTCCGAACGGAGATAAATGCAGAGAAATTCGAACGAGGAACATTGAGTCTCTGATCAGTTAGTCAGTTGCAACGTAGAACTTCGTACGTACGTACATTAGTTCAGGTCACCATACCGCATTAACACAGAGACACAAATGAGTCGCTGATTAATTAACGCATTAACTATTATACTACCTCTGTTTACACCAGTCGACTTAAAAATGTATTAATCCATCCTGAAAAGCTTCTTTTTCCCATCACAATACTATTAATGTATTCTCTGCTTTTTTATAAAATTTTCTCTACAGGGTTTTTATAAACATTCAGTTTGTGATCCCCTTACTAATCCTGGTCATATTGATTTAACATGTGATGTTGATTTTAGTATTTTATGTCATGCAATTAAAAATTCCAATAGTAAAGGTTTGTTTATTTATTAATTTATGTATATTTTATATTATATGTGATTTTGATTTATTTGTCTATATATTTCTATAAAATTTAAATTGATACTTTCCAGTTTAGTGATTCCAAAGATAAGTTGACCGCTTCACTCATCTTAGACGTTTCATCAGTCCTTTATAGCCTAGCGTCTAACGAAATTTAGGTATGAATACGGAAGGCTAGACTCGGTTTCGTCAACTTACGTTACTTACGGCGTAGGTGAGATATCTATTTACTAACTAAAGGATGAGTCTACTGCATAACAGTTTGCTCCGTCCTACTTTATGAGTGGGAAATGTATCCACCAAGAGTAGTGGATATTCGTAGACTAATAATATGCGACCATAGGTGTCTTCGAGGCATTGGTCGTACATCCTGGAAAAGTCGAGTAAGCAATCCTGTTGTTAGGAAATGGTTACCATGTAAGGATGGCATATCAATTGGTGAAGTGGTGAAACGTCATCAGTTGAGATGGTTGGGACATGGGTTACGTATGCCCAACCGTTGACGAGTTATGTTTTGTGGTGTAGGAGTTGGTTGGAAGAAAGCTAGGGGCGGCCAGGCCAAAACATTGCGGAAATCTATAAAGTCACTAACGAATGGACTGAGTCATGTTGGTAGGTGTCGACTACACGTTTGGGGCCCACGAGATGATAGTAATCGATGGTTAGAAACCCTGAATGACATGACGTGAAATCTCGGCACGGATACAGAAGTCTCGATTGGCTTTTGCCAACCTGCGTCACTTATGGCGTAGGCGAGATATCCGTTTGCTGACTAAAGGACGAGTGTACTGCGCAGTGGTTCGCTCCGTCTTACTTTATGGCTATGAAACATGGCCAATGAGAGTAGAAGATACTCGTCGGTTATTGGTTTTCGATCATAGATGTCTTCGAAGCATTGCTCGTACATCGTGGGACACCCGAGTTAGCAACGCTGTTATTAGGAATCGGGTGTTAGGTAAGAATGGCAGATCAATAGACGCAGTAGTGACACTTCATCAGTTGAGGTGGTTGGGACATGTGTTGCGTATGCCCAACCACCGACTGCCTCGTCGAGCTTTGTTTTGTAGTGTAGGAATAGGTTGGAAGAAAGTTAGGGGCGGCCAAACCAAAACATGGCAGAAATCCATGAAGTCATTGACTAGTGGACTTAGCCATGTCGGTAATTGTCGACTACCTGGTTGGGGTCCGCGAGATGATAATAATCGATGGTTAGAGACCTAGAATGACATGGCTCAAAATCGTTCGCAATGGCGCCGGTGCATTTATTCTTTGTGTTCTTTCAAATCCTAATCTTCTGGATTCTTCAACACCTCTAGTTTTTACTTTCTAAACTTATCTCATTGGATCATACCTCGTGAATAATATCTTCTAATTCTAACCTCTCCGATTACTTCTAATACCTTTACTACCTCTTCTACTATTGGATTTGAATTGACAATTATATCTCTGTGCTGATGTGGTATGGCGACATGAACTGATGTACTTACGTACGAAGTTCTACGTTGCAACTGACTGACTGACTGACTGAATGACATGGCTCAAAACCGTTTGCAATGGCGCCGGTGGATTCGTTCTTTGTATTCTTTCAAATCCTAACCTTCGGAGCTCCTCATCAGTTTATCTTTTTCTTTTTAAGTTTATTCCACTAGATTCTACTTCTTGAATAATATCGTCGAACCCTAATCTCTCTGATTACTGCTCATACCTCTCCTACCTTTACTACTATGCGGTTTGAATTGACAATTGCATCTCTGTGGTAATGTTGTATGATAACTCAAACTGATGTACGTACATACAAGTTCTACCTTGTAACTAACTGATATGATAATCAATAGAACTGTTTGTATAGAATTCCTCCTTATTTCCCCTCAATTAACATTACCAACTATTAAATTCCTACTATCGATTATGAAATAAAATAGGCAGCTGCAAAGGAAGGCTCATATTAACTAATTTTCTCTCGTTATCATCTGTCAGTTCTTACTTTAAATAATAACTTAGGCGACGTTTAGCTTCTAGTAGATATTAATTTAACTTGAAAGTATCTTATGTGTTGGAAAATTGTATGGAGCAATGTTCGAGAGGATCTGGAATAGCGAAAGTGAGCTGACGACTAAGTAAGCACGTACAATGAATACATTTACATTTAGTAATAAGAACAGTTGACAACATTTAAAGATTAAGATTATAGAAAACTAGAAGTTGATAGTGTAATATTTCAGTTACACTACAATTTATCTAATTTATATTTCTATAATCTTGCTGAACATTTATCACGATTATTAAAAAGATATTTTGGTAATAATTAAAATGACTAAGTGGTACGATAATAAATGAATTATCAATGAACGAGAAATATCGTCTTTTTGTTTACGATTTTGAAAGACTATCGAATAGTTTCATGATCACAATATTTAAATTATTCAAACACAAACCGTAGCACAAGAAGGCACCAACATATTTATACGCCATATTAAATGTGTGTGGGTTGAGATACTACCCGCGTGCCCAAACCGAAGCAAGTGATCTTCTTAAGCGATCACTCTCTGAACCTTTAACTTTCAGTTCTAACCCAAGAAGCAGTTGATCAAAATCAGCAAACGTAGTCCTATGGTAACCGATGACCAACATTAGGTTCGTGCGTTATCATGTTCTATCAAGATCGTCGAGCTCATGAACACCATTGATTTGGAATGAGGGTTTTCCAACTCTCTTAGGTAGATCCTCTGTATCCACTAACGAGGTTCAAGCCTAGACCGAAAATCCATTTTTTCGTCTTTCCAATTTGACAAAAAGTACCCCGTCTACGAGAATGTAGTAAGATTTCCCAAACAGCGAATATGTACTTGTGGCAGTATGAGAGGATTTGGAAATGGAGAGCTGACTCACTTTACCCTCAATCGTATCAGAGCATTTGGTAGCAGATGCATTGGTTATAATCGCTTCTCCTCAACAGCACAGCGGGATGCCAGAGTAACAGAAGTAGTAATCGTATCGGCCGTTGTAGAAAAGATTAGACATAGTCAGTATAATTTTGTAAAGAAGAATTGATTAGCGCAACTAGAGTAGAGTAGTTTCAAAATCTAAGGGGAGACAAAGATTGAGTTTGCTTCTGCCATTGCAAATGGTTCTAAGTAATTACAATAATCCTAGGGATCCCAACCAATTAGCCTTCATTTTCCGACACAATCCAGTCCGACAGTCAACTATGTCATAGACTGATATCAAATCAAGCAGTTCTCACTCAACTTTGCATTTTTTTAATCAACGAAGTGAACAAAAACTCTCTGTCTCAATATCTTTGTTGATATTTTAACTTGTAAAACTTTTTTTTCTCTTTTCGTACTACTCTAGTAAAACTTCATGGTCCTGTAACTCAAGCTTATTTTCTCATAAATATGGGTTTATTCACCAGATTAAAGGTAACCCCATTGATTTGTGATTGATTTTCTGTAAATTAAGTTTCTCCTTGTTGATTTATGTTTTTTTCTTCATAAAGAACTCATATTATCAAAAAAAAACATTTAAAATTATTACCCGTATCTATTTCCAGTTTAGGACAAGAATACTTTAGCTTTGAGTATATTTTGAATTCAGATACAAAAATTATTTTGCGCTTTTTAGTGAGTCACATTAAATAAAACCTGACTCACTGCTTAATATTTTGACCGAATAAATTAATGGATTTATTGTTAGTTGTGTTGTATAATTTGACATGTAAAATATCTCGTTAATTAATTATTCCAAGAACTCTGGTTCCACTCCAGTTGCGATATTTGCTCTTGTTCACTCAATGTTACCCCCCTTATATAATTGCATATTTCCATAGGTGATGTTCTTTGCCAGTCGATTTGATTTGCGGTGCTGTTGAAATCTACAGAATATTTTATGCTAGAAATTATCTAAACTATCCAACAATGTTCAATCAACTGATTTAGGCCTCACAGTAAACATGTTATACCTGTAGACTACTACTGATTTAGAACCCAATGATTCATAGTTCCTATTTCAAGAAATTCACAATATCGTTTAACTTACCATCCAGTACTGTCGGTGACGATGGTTATCTTATTTCCGAAATGATTTGATTTTCAATAGTACCTCGAATGTTATTAGTCGGTGATAAATACCGTCTGTAAATTAAACTAATTTCTACACTTCACTTAATCAAATGAAGGTTTTCCTGCATCTAGAATTTAAGTTGTTATCTGATTAGATCCTGAACATCTATCTAATTACTTCTTTGAATTATGTGCCGAGCATAGTTTGATCTGCACTGGTCATGAAGACTTTGATGGAGACTATCATGGATGCAATACAGTTGCCTATGAATCTGATTATAGTTTAGATCCCTCAATTTATTACAGCCATGTTGAAAACTGTTAGGATATTTATCTTATATCCTAAGAGAATTATTGGTCAACTCCTATTGGTTAATTTCTACTGGTCAGTTTTATGATCGTCCTAGATAACATTGTCACGTGCTCCAATGTTGTTTCTTATTGGTCATCGTCTCTCGGTGTTTCGCGATCTCAAGAACCAAGCAGACTGCTCGTAAATCAACCAGTGGTAAAGCCCCACGCAAGCAACTGGCTACCAAGGCTGCACGCAAAAGTGCACCAGCAACCGGTGGTGTGAAGAAGCCCCACAGATATAGGCTTGGGACCGGACCAGGATCCCTAGTCCGGGTTGCTGATTCTCTTCTGGACTTGGACCTTGTACTTTCTGCATGCTTGTAGAATACACGTCCTACTTCATGTCAAGTCTTCTTCTTTCACTCAATGGGGGTTGGGATAATCAGATTAGAGTAACATGTCGTGTCGCCGGATCCTCGCTCTCGTTTTCCGACTAAGGTAAACTCGTAATAATAATTCAAGCATATCAAAATGACATGTTTACGTTCATGCGTAACAAAAACCTATCGCGTAATTCTTATAAGCATCTTAATAAATGTTCAGTTGAAATCTAATGCTTCACACTTTCCATAAAGTTACAAATTGCAAATTTTGATTGTCTCATGTTCTCTTATTCAACGCGCCTACTTGTGTTTTCTGTTACTTGTTTTATCTACTCTCTATAGATTTTATTGTCTAAATGTGAATCAGATCAAGAAAAAGATGAATTGTATTCAGCATGTGAAATGCTTATCACCAATGAACAAATGGGTAGTCGATTTAAATTTGTTGCAATCACACCGGAACTGGAATCAGATGCTGTTGGATGTGGACAACAATTACCTGGTTTCACACCGTTACCTGGTACACCGTATGCACAAATGAATTCTGTATGAAGAATGTTATTCCTGTATAACTTGTTTAATTTATCAACTAACTAAATGCAATCTCTTTTAACTTATAGCTTATCACCATTTATTTCTCTATACTTCAATGATTAGTCGTTTAAATTATTTGATATAATAGTAGCGATCATATTTTTGTATTTGTACAGTATCGATTATTGTACGTTTGATTGTGTGTGTGTGTGCATGCTTACTCGTATATTACATCTCTAGCCTATGATTGCTTGACTAGGAATACTTGGCCATTCTTCAGCAAACAGAGAGTTGACTCACTCGTCTTCTCAAATTCGCTTCTTTTTATTTGTACGCTTTCAATTCTCATGTCTCTCTGTATAAATAAATGCATGAAACCGTATTGGGCTTCTTATTACCACTGTCGCACAAATGGGGTTCGCCTAAGTATGATACACGGAAATGGACAGGAAGATTTATTTCATTGCACACTTGATCATTCGTCCACACTGGAGTCCAGTTGTGAGCCGCTAAAAACTTTGTACATATAAAGTTCAAATATATATATCGTATATATATGTATAACCAGATAATAAGTTTCTTTCTTAAATTCTTATTTTCAATAAGTTTATGAAATGCTTGAATGCTATTACGAGTTCACCTTACTCGGTAAACGAAACAAAGGTCAACGATGCACTGACACGATAGGCTATTCTAATCCTCTGTCCCAGACTCTGATAACTATAGCAAGAAGTCTTGATAAGGTGTAGAGAATTTATTCTAAATGCACCCAGAAAATACGAAGTTACCAAGCACACAACTCCAACTTATCCATACAGTTGATAAAACACTTAGTGAGAGACAAAAAATAGCGTACTAAATTAATCCATCAGCCAATGACAGTCAAGCATTTTCCGAGTGGAAAATGTAAGCTGAAGGTCAGCTAGTCGTTTTTGGCACGAAAACATAGAGATTCGAAATATTTCAGAAATAAATTACAAAATTAGGACCTTTTCCAAGTGAGTTCTGGGGATCTAACGTCCCAAACAGTTTAATGGCACATCGGTTATATATTGAATACCGCAGGTCAGTATTTCATTTCATAAAGCTATCCGTTAGGTTATATCTAGTGATTTCACTTAATCACGTAAGAATCAGTATATGAGTCTGTTTTATCCGTATCTAATAAGTGCATTTATCAAATGTTTTTATTTCTATAGCACATAATAATCTGTCACATTATCTATCCATCAAATGTGTAATTAACTGTAGTTTGTCACATCTCAGGGATATAAAACAGACATTGATATACTAATTTGGATAATCAAATGGCTAGGATTTGAAAATCCTCATCAAATCTCGACCTAAATGTAAATAATTATTACGCTTAAAAAGAACTTGCATACTTATGGACTATTTTCGAAGTTAGTCTATATAATGATCAGATAGGTGATAAATTATCTAATCCTATTGACTGGCAATAAATTTACTCATACCATTTGGTCAATTTTTGTCAGAATATTAGGAAAACCAACCTTACAATTTCTGGTCAAATGTTGTCTGCTTATTGACTAACCAAAAATGAAACGGACACTTAACTATGATTATGCATAATGAAATTGGAAAGACGAAAAATGAATGTCCTGTCAAGGCTTAAACCATGTTGGTGTGTATGGAGTGTTAGAAAACCCTGATTCCAAATCAATGGTGTTCATGAGCTCGACGATCTTGATAGATGCGCACTGCTGATGAGTCCCATACCAGGACGAAACGGCCGTCCAGTGCTTCCAGGTTTCTAATGGTGGTCTCACAATGATTGATTGATGATTTCAAATATGTAAAAACAAACCTCCGAAGCTCTGCCTGAAAAGATCTTGATAGAACATGTTAACGCACGAACCTATTGTTGGTCATCGGTTACCATAGGACTACGTTTGCTGATTTTGATCAACTGCTTCTTGGGTTAGAACTGTAAGTTAAAGGTTCAGAGAATGATCCCTTAAGAAGATCACTTGCTTCGGTTTGGTCACACGGGTAGTATCCCAGCCCACAAACACATTTAATGTGGCGCATGAATATTTTGTTGCCTTCTAGTACTAAAGTTTGTGTTTGGATAAAGAATATTGCGATTATGAAACTATTTGACAGTCCTTCAAAAGAACGATATCTCTCGCTCATTGATTATCGTATCACTTAGCTATTTCAATTGTTACCAAATCATCTTTAAATAATAATGATAAATGTTCAGTAAGACGAGATAAACCTGAATCTGGTTAGTCCTTAAGAGACGAAATGAGCCAGAAATCTTAGTCTAAAATGTTACAATCATGATTCTGGAATTATAAACATAGGCGAGTGGTTAATTAGCAGTGGAATCCAGGACGTGCTTCTCGTCCTGTCTGGGACTCGACATGTGGATGTATCTGTATTTCAGACTTGGTGTTCACTCCGAGACTCGAAGTCACTACCGTTTGCTCCAAATGCCCTTGGGTTATCCACTTAGCTACTGGGTCCATGTAAACACAAGCTTGTGCAATCGAATTAGGAATAATTCATTTCTATTGGTTGAGTCTTCCACCCAGCCTACAAGTCTCACGTAGGATGAGAATTCTAGAATACTTTGAGATTGGTTAATCAGTGAGATTGTCAAGCATTTAAAAGAAGTTAGTTCATAAACAATTACAGTAGATTCCATGAGTTAAAATAATGATTCACGTGCTCCTGAGTACTTATTAAGTATAAATAGCACACAAAAACAGTAAAACCGAATGAGTTATCTATTTACGACAAAGGCAACAACTATGAAGTAAGTTAAAATATCTATCAGTTTACGTGGATTATTCCACAAACAGGAATGATCGGATATACTTTAAATGCATTTGAAATGAAAGTTTGCAATTTCCCTTAAAATATTTAGAGTTATTTAAAGAAAATGTATTTATCCCCCCTAAATTACATATTACACTTATCAGTACGTATAAAGCAATAGTTTAATGACTGAAGCACACCTGGCCTTCAACCAGTAGGTTATCGATGCATTCGAAATACTACGACTTCAAGTTACATTAATTTCTTAATAAAATAGACTTATTGAGGAATCACAAAAACAATCTAACAAATCATCTCTAATGTTTATTTCATTATAACAAACTTTACATTTAACTTTCTTACCAACATTTGAAGTTTAAGAACATGAAAAAACAAATTGCTGATTAATTTTAATCTCAGTAACAAGAAACGAATGCTTTACACTTTAACTGGCATTCAGTCAGACAATTGTGTGAATTCCAGAGTTAAATAGACGTGTATTTTTACCAGTCAGTATACGACGCTATCATGTTATAAATTTGCTTGTCACATAATTTATTTCAACGTAAATTCTCATAGGATAGGTATCGTACGTCATATTTATCTACTGTACATCACATGTTATATCATATATGTACGACAGGAAGATGTAAATATCGATGAAATATTGTAAGTGCACTACTCAACTAGCCAAGGTTAATTGCACGTACACGCATTGATCTGAGTCACTTCTGGACCAATACATAATATAAATACGAGTTACGAGTATCATTTTTCGCCTTAACAGACACCCGAAGACTTTTCTAAACAGTTGGTTGGTTAATAATAGAACTGTATATTAGCCACTGAATTAAACCGCAAAACATAAGGTGTTTTAATTATTCCAGTACAAGTAATTTACTTCTATAATATTTGTAATATGAAATCTTGCTAGTTATTCATTATGTCTTAAGAAGCTATTATAACCATCGAATAACTATTCATAATTAACAAAATAATTGTGTGGCTTAGAAAACGAGATCGTTAAAAAACATTTTCTTCGCTAAAATTCCTCGTAAAATGAGAACTCTTAACTCCAAGCCAAATATTCGCTGATAGTCTCAACTCGACTTAGGATTGAGGATATGAGAAAATTATGGACCCTATCATAAATATGACAGAATCTGACCTTGGAATGCACACAACACTTTTCAAATGACGATATTCTAAACTACACTATTACCTATCTATAATGCATGAAGAAACATTCATTTTCAAAGCAAGTTTATTCTTTAATGTCTAGCTCCACATGTCCTCTAGTCTTCAAAACACTCTGATCGTACCATACATCCAGATCCAACACTTCCCGTCGTCCGTACCTTCAGAGCGAAATTGCTGCAAATCCACTGTATACTACTTATAAGCTTCGTTGTGACTAGTACGCACCATAATATGACTTTACTGACTGGCGTTCATTTTGCTACTTAAGCAATTCTCAGAAAAGCTATTTAATTAAAAGACTGATTCGTATAAGATTTTTTTCGCTGTATACGCACTGCTAAACTCAAAACGTTTTTAATTGCAGTTCTTTTCCTCCATATGATGACAGATGGAGTAATCCATGGCGTGTGTGTCTGTATAAGTATGGTCATATCGGATGGGTCAGTTAATAATTGAGTTTAATTCGTTATGTGTAATGTCATTTTTAAGTGTCAAATTTCTCTTATTATTCATTTAATTGGAATTGAACAATTTCAATATTTTGTTCGTTGTTAATTTTCTATCCTAAATTTATGTTTGCTTTTTCAAGTGAATATTCTTACATAGTTGAAATAAATTTGAATGAATATAAGCGGTCAGTTTATCATTAATTGAAATGATTCAATTTGAATGATAAGTCATTATGTTAAAACTTGATAAATTTCTATTAATTTCGTATCAGAAGATGAAAGAAATCTATACAGTAGCATACTAGGTAAAAGCGAGAATTTTGTTTTCTTGCCCACTTTTGTTTGTGTTCAATATATTTATTGTCAATTCCTTATTATTTTCATATTCAATCCATGCTTGTTTTGTTTGATTTTCGTCTATTTCTGTTACGCCTGCACGTAAACACGTCATCTTGATATACTTGAACTATTACGAGTTTACCTGATCGGAAAACGAGAGCGGGGATCGAGGATCCGGAGACACGACATGCTACTCAAATCCGGTTATCCCAACCCCCATATTGAGTAAAAATAAGAAGACTTGATATGAAATAGAACATGTATTCTACAAACATCAAGAAAGTACGAGCTCCGAGTCCAGATGTGAATCAGGATCCCGGACTAGTGATCCGCGTCCGGGTCCGGGTCCTGGTCCTGGTCCTAAAACGTTCCGGATAATGCGTATTTATACATTTTGATCGAATAGGAAACAGCATCGAAGTCTGTGATATTGACAGTTAAGACGGTCAACAAGAAGCAGCATTTGAGGTGACACTGATAGTCAGGACAATCAATAAGAAACAACATTGGAACACGCGACATTGATATCTAGGACGACCATAAAATTGACCAGTAAGAATTAACCAATAGGAATTGACCAATAATTCTCTTAGGATATTGGATGAATATCCTAACAATTTCTTCATATTGTGTATCCTGAGCTGTATTCAAGTAATCTGTAGGCCGCTTTTATCATAAATTAATATCTGTTGAAGAGTTATTGAAAACCAAAGAGTAATCCGGAAGTTCACCAATACATCCACTGACAATCTTAAATAGCATCCAATTCAAAATATTCATGTCACGAGGGAAATAGTCCTTCGTCAAGTCATTAAGATGAAAACTAATAATTCATCTACCTTAACTTAGTCAGTTATAAGGGAGCTTTGTTTGATTTTTGGTGAGTTTGTAAATGCATACCTTTGAATAGTCCAATACTATGAATAATCAGCTATTTTAATTTTTATTTAACCAAAGGCAGTCTATAATGTGAAACATTAAATAATTTAACTTCAATTAATTCTTGATAGAACTCAATCAGTATGAAAATATGTGAATCACAGTTTAAATAACTGATACCATAAGATAAATCCCAATTTCATTGAAATCATAAGTTGATTAATGTTATACTGCCATTAGAAACCTAGAAGCACTGGGTGGCCGTTTCGTCTGAGTATAGGACTCATTACCAATATTCATTCGCACGTTGAAATCGAGCTCAGGACCTTCATTTTCAAGAGAGAACGCTTAACCTCTAGACCAGTTAGCCGACATACAAAGGTGTTAATGTATAACTTCAGTTAGGCTAGGATATTGCATGACCGCATCCATTACCTTCGGTAAGAAACTGCCTCGAACCTGACACGGTTGAACACCACTCACTGATTACGGCTGCTCACTAGGACCCCGAGAATTACCTCACTAAGCCAGTCACTATTGAGCACATGATAATTTTCATTTCTAACACTGATTGTCTCATCATTTCAATAAAATTCAACAATCTCCACAACTCCATAATGAAAATCTTATTTTATTCTCCCCTATGAATCTAGCGAAATCAAATATGTCAGTTAATTCACATATATCTGATTTCATTCCACTATCTTGATCTCGACCATGAAAATCTAGTCGATCCTATAATTTATGCAACATTTTAAATGTTTTAGTTTCCACCATTTTCATCCTACTGTCATCAATCGAACTGACCAATCAAATTGTGATTACTGATCATCTCTTACCTCTATTATCTGTAAAATGATCAAACTATTTAGATCTGTCACTTATCTTGAATATTCATTGGTTTAAAAGCAAAAATAGCGCAAAAATTTTTCCTAAGTCAGTGTTTCACTGTCCCTAATTAATACAATATAGTGATAAGAAAAAAGTGGCTCGAATATTAAAGGACAAAAGATGAGCAACACTTTCCCAAACATATAATTACAGTTTTTCAATAGAAAATACTGAAATACTTCATAATATTTTTCAACTCCGAAATGATCTTGACTACGTCGATGACGGATTTCATATTTTATATATAATAAATTAGGCGGCAAAAGAGAGAGGAGAAAGGGGAAAAATATGCGTTATGAATTACACTGTTGATGATAATAATAATAATAATCTATTATCTACAAATTATGTTCAAGAAATAAACGAATTCCCATTTACTATTAGTCAGGTAAGAAGCAAAAATTCATTACTGATGAATAATATACGTCTTATTTATTTAATAGTTGAAAATATTTCCTATTTCTCTCTATAATTTGTTACAAAGTTTAGAAAAGTTGTTTTATTCACTCTTAGTTAACTATTTGAGTAATATATAGATACAAGTTTCGTGTATTTGACTGAGGGTAGTGGACAGCAAGTTCACCGTAGCAATGCACTGTCATAACTTCACTAAGGATCTATCACATAATCAATATATATATATATATATATATATATATATATATATATATATATATTGATTATGAGCACTTAGGTGCAATCCTTACTTACTTACTTACTTACTTACGCCTGTCACCCCCAATGGAGCATAGGCCGCCCACCAGTTTACTCCAACCAACTCTGTCCTAGACTTCGGTTTCCAATTCTTTCCTATTTTCGTTCATTCTACTCATATCTTTCTCTACTTCTCGACGTAATGTGTTCCTTGGCCTTCCTCTTTTCCTTTTGCCTTGAGGGTTCCATGTGAGGGCTTGTCTTGTGACGCAGCTCAGTGCTTTTCGTAGTGTATGTCCTATTCACTTCCACCGCTTCTTCCTGATTTCCTCCTCCACTGGAATCTGGTTTGTTCTCTCCCACAGTACGTTGTTGCTGATGGTGTCTGGCCAACGAATCCGAAGTATTTTGCGTAGACGACTGTTAACAAACACTTGTATCTTCTGGATGATGGCCTTCGTAGTTCTCCAAGTTTCCGTTCCATACAGGTTTAATCGAGTGACGTGAATTTTCAACTTGATTTAATTCACTAGATTGCACAATAAACTGCTATTGCCATCAATGACTGAACTCTACTAGTCATACATTTTGTTAAAATTTTAGGAATAGGTTCTGCAGTGAAATCAGTTATAAAAATGCACACTACTTTTAAAACTAAAAAATATCTACGAAGTATGACAGAAATGATAAATATTGGTGTTTTACTAATAGTAATAATGATAATCATTTGAAGATATAAACTGAAAGACGAAGCACTGTGAACAAGTTTAGTATGAATAATTGCAATATATAATGAGTAATGTTATAAAATGACCATTTAATGTATTTCGCATTATTAGTGATCACACATGATACATTTACTGAACTCCTCGGAGTTGAGTCGTGATTAACTCAGTCGGTTAATTGTCACAAATGATTTGTAATCAATGAAAATAAGAAATGAAAATTATGTATTAAAATTTGAAAGATTTTTCAATGAGTTAAAATACCTAGAATAAAGAATGGTCAGATACATTAGTTAGATTTGCTAATATGTTCCTCTATTACCTTTAGTATAATGTGTCAATTAGATGTTCGAATATGAAACCGCTTTGTCTACTAACCCTTGTTTATTCATAAATAATGACAGTCAGAAATTAAGTGAATAAGCTTAATCAAGCTGTTAAACTCATTGTGCTAAAGATCGATTTCCCCAATGAACATAAGACTAATTAAATTATCCATGAGGCATATAATTCTTATCAAGTGAAATAAAATTAAATAGTGTATTTAAAAATAATTTCAAATCCGAACACTGAAATTCACCAGTCATAGGTTTAGAATTAAGTTTGTAATTATAAATATTATTGCCTTATTGAATAACAATAAAACAGTTATAGTTTGAATTATATATTCCTAATAGCCCAGCATGAGTCAACAGTTTTCCATCTCTTCCCTCTTTTGTATTTTTCAAATAAGTCCTCGAATACTATTAATAATTCTAAAAATGTTACAGTCGATTATGAATGAACAAAAAACGTCAATAATTTATGCAGTTACTACCTTTTTTTTAGTAACAGCGAGCTCTGGCAGTCAGTAATCACACTGTTACTAATTGAGACTGAAGTTTCTAAACGTGGTTACAGCCAGAGATAACTTGTTTACAACACGATCAATCTTTATACATTTGACTGAATAAAAGCCATTCACTTAGAACGTAATGGGCATATGTTTCGATAATATTTAAGTTAATGAGTATTTTTTAAAAACAACTTATGGCCATACCTTCAAAACTTATTGTTAGGGATAAGAAACGAAAACCTTAGCCATTTTACTTTCTGCTTAATTGTATTTTACTCATGTATAAAACAACCTACTTAGGCCTGTAATCCCTAATGGAGCGTTACCCGCCGATCAGCCTTCTCTAACAAATTCTGTCCTAGGCTCTTCTTTCCAGTTTCTTCCAGTTGCTATCCATTCTTTTGGTCTCTGCCTCCGATTCTCGATTCAGTCTGTTTCTTATTCTGCCCATTTTCCCTTCACTCCAAGGATCCTATATAAGGGCTTGTCTTGTGACGCAGTTGGGTGATATCCACATTGTTTCTCATCCACTTCCAGCGCTTCTTTCTGATTTCTTCCTCCTCTGGAATGTGGTTTATTCTTTCCCACAGTAGATTGTTGTTGACGGTGTCTGACCAGTGGATCTTGAGGAGACAACTGTTAATAAACACCAGTACCTTGTAGGTGATGGCTTCCGTGGTTCTCCGATTTCCCGCTCCATACAATAGAACGGTTTTGACGCTTATATTGAAAATTCAGACTTTGGTGTTGATTGACAGCTGTTTTGAGTTCCAAATGTTCTTCACGTGTAGAAATGCTGTCCTTACTTTGTTAATCTGTATCTTTCCAACGGCATCATTTCCTCCATGTTTATCATCGATGTTGCTTAGGTTCGTATAAAACAAAAATCATGCTAAATGGTTTATGTAACTAAATTACATAGGTGGTTTTTACACTGCTCATTAATTAGATCATAGATACATAACCATTTCATTATTTATTGCTGATTTTGTTCACAGATAGACTATTTCAATCACCATGATTATAGCCAACTTTAAAAATGAATTTATAATAGACGAAAGCAAAGTGTACATTGGTGAATTTCATTGTCTCAAATGAGAATGACATCTAGTCAAAGAAACCTATTGATAACATTGAACTAGGATTTATTTTGAGAGCTAAGTTAATTAGACTAAAATATATAAATTCTCATGATACAGTTGGCAACATTCGAAATGATCAGGATAAAAATTGAAAGAAGTACTTACTGACAGATAACATGAAGAGTTGATTACCAATCACGGTATTCAGTCATTTTCAATCTCTTAATTACATTCATTAAAAACATTAAGTCACTTTCTTTTATAAACAGTTTCAAATAGATATATTTATAAATTGCTTCATTCATATCAAAATATTTCATAGTAATTGGTTAGGGTTTCACCATCGTTTCAAAAGGTTATCTGTTGAAAATCACTGCGCAAGGGCTAAGAACATATTTTGTAATAGCTAACATGAAAATATTAAAAAAAAAATAAAAACAGCAAGTGAATATTCAGTGTCATTCGACACGACTCTAACACAACTGCAGATTTCACCAGAATAAAATAAAATTCAAACTCTTTAGACTTTATGATAAGTGAAAAACTATTCAATTCATAGAACTATTCAACAAGTCTGTGCAGTTTCCGAAATTATTTACGAATATGGAGTTACTGATGACTCCTAACTCATTTTCTGTAAGCTAGATTTCTCAACTGTGTAACTTTGATTGTCGTTCCAGTCAATATCAATGACAAAACTAAGCCCAGTCAATGTATTTCTTGTAATATGTACAGAAAAGCACCCTATATTAACAGTAGTTTTCTCATGGTTCTGGTTAAAGCAGACATTTATTCATAGATTGAAACAAATACCTTGATTGAAAATTTAAAATAGAATGACTCATACACAACTATTGTATCATTAAATGATGTCAATAGGCAGTGAAGGTCTTTGGAAGTAGATAGTTAACAGGATATAGTGTTTTTAAATGTCATTGATTAATCACGTGAACGTAGACATTCAAAGTTCAATCGTTGAATCAGGAACCAGCTGTCATTAATAACAGTAAGAAGAAGCGAAGAAGTTTGCAAATTAAAATAATTATATTTCTGGTGTAGGTTTCTTTAACGGATATATCATATAAACTACTCGTTTATCACAAGAGTAATTCAGACTGTTTGTTCACTGTGTTCAGTTCAGAATCATTGTAACCAAACGTTGGAACATTTTACTGGAGTTTTCGAACTAAGTTAAATGATACATTCCCAATAAATCATAAAAATGCCCTTGTTACGAAATGATATTTATAGAGTTAATGTTAGAAATACATAACTAACGGCATCATCAGATTTAGTAAGCTTTTCATTCTCCAAACAATATAAAGTTAATAAACACTCGGATTATGTATCAGAACTTACTTAATGACTTAAAACTCTGTAACTTAGTAAATGTCCATGTTGTTAGTGTCATGTTATTAGCTATTATATGATGTTTTGTATTACCTCAGCATGATATTTATTTTATGTATAATTTTGAAATTTCACTCAGAATTACCGCAAAGAAAATCGATATTTAAATGGATGATATTTTTTTCTTAAAATATATTCTTTACTGTCAAATAATTTGTGATTCATTAAAAGAAAAAGTTCCAAGAGTAGTCAGTGTTTCTATTCTTGTCGATTCTTATACTATCAACTGAAATCCATTTCTTATCACATCATACCAAATACATTCAGTCATACCACCTGAACAAGTCATTCTCATTAACATGTCCTTAAAATGTAGTTATGATTACATAATTATACAAATGATTACTGTAACCTTTGAACTTGATGTTAAGTAATTCTTCCTGTTAAGAATAATTTCAGGACAAGATATAAACCAATTTTTCTTCTTCTCAGTGATTTTCAATAATTATTTGATTTTTTTATCAATTCTTTCGGGGATGTTAGATCCCCAGGACTCACTTGATAAAGGTCCTAATTTCGGATTTTAGGTTTTCGCGTATGGGCTGACCAATTGACCTTGGGACTACATTTCCCACCCGGAAAATCCTTGAATGTAATTGGTTGATGGATTATTTTAGTACGCTATTTTTGGGGCTCTCCCAAGGACATTTCTATCGTGTATAAATAAACGCGATTTGTGTGC